ATGCGTAACCATGTGACCAGCTTCACCAACAGTAGAGGCACAGGTTCTGGGATCGTTCTTGCGCTGATGTTCCTCTGGAGATAGTTTAGGCCCGTGCCAGGCCGAGAGTGCATAGGTTCAGGGGATATCTCCAGGTGGCCGGTTCTGGATGTTTGGCCTAGGTGCTTGACTGGGACATTTGAAATGACCCCCAGGGATTTTCCATGTACCCTGGATCGGACCTCACTCTCAGTAAACCTTTGCGTTCCCGCAGTCTAACGGTCAATCTATATTTCAGTTTATTCTTTAGTTTATTGCAATTAAGTCCTGCTAAAGTCTCACGGCACCTCCACCCGGGCGAGCTCATTTTCAGGCCTTCTGGTAGGCCTATACGGAACTGATGCAGGAGAGCAAACTCGTTCCTGCAGCGTGTGTCCCCATCCAGCAGCCTAAATTCAGACGCGTACTCCTCCGCCGCTCGGCGGCCCTTGCCGAGAGCGTGTACAAAGTAGCTTCAGCAGAAGCTGCCCGCTGTGTGGTTTTCATCGTATAGGATGGCCATTGCGTCAAAAAAATTGTCAACCGAACTGAGGTGAGGGTCATTTTTTCCCCGCAGGTCGGTGGGCCCAGTCTTGGGGTTCACCCTGCAGGAGGGAGATGACGAACCCCACCTTCACGGATTCAGTCACAAAGGTTCGTGGTTGCAACTCAAAATAGAGAAGACAGGACTCACGGAATGACCTGAAGCGTGTGCGGTCCCCGTGAAAACGTTCCGGTAAGGTTACTCGGGGTTCGGCCGCCGGGAGTGGGGCGGATGCCCCAGAAACCGGCACAGGGGCTGCTACGGCCGGGGGTGCGGGGACCGCGGCCTGTGGGGCAGAAACGGATATAGTGCAGGTCTGGAAGTGATTCTCAATCTGCTGACATCTGTCCTGCAGGGCCGATATTGGCCTGTGTCAAGTTAGACAGGTGCCTGCAGATCTCCTCAAGCGGCGAGGGCCCTCCTCTAGACTCAGTCATGGCCTTCTGGTACTGTAAGGGAACCGCCTGGCGGTACCACTAGCACTCACTCCACTTGAATAGGCGTCCCCAGCGCACGGAGTCTAAGTCCCAGGGTGCTTGTTCCCCAGGGCCCCTGATGGTGGGGATGGACTTGGAGCCCCTGAGACCAGGTCGTGGGCTACTGGGTGCGTCCGTCAGTGGTAGTGGTATGCGCCAAGGGCTCCCACGGGGAAGAGTCTGATATGAGGAGGTCAGCAGACCCCACTGGCACGGGATGGATGGATGGATGGATGAGCAAGGTCAGACGGGGGCCGGGTCGGTAACAGAGAGGACGGCAAGGTACAAGGCAGCGGGCATAGAATGGTCGGGTCACACGCCAGGTCAGCAACAGCAGGTCAAATCCAATAGGGGGCATTCAGGAGAGAGGTCAGGCAAAGCAAGGGTCAGGGCAGGAGAAATACAGCAAGGTCAGGTACAATCCGGCGTCAGCAATTACAATACACAGGTTCGCAGATACAGGATACAGGTAAGACCAGAAGGCACTGAATGACAGCTCAGGGTCGTTTAAATATCCCGCCCTGCGCTGCCATTGGTGCCCAGCGGGCGGCGGCCGCGGGGCTTCTACTGCGCATGCGCGAACTCGAACGCCGCGGCCGGCCCGGACCTAGTGCTCGAGTCCCTGCACAGGGCGGCACACTGCGCCTGCGCCGGGACCATCGCGGCGGAGGATCGAGAGGATCCCTGACAGATGCAATTAGCAATCGGGAGCTTTCCGTTAGGCTCAGGTAACTGTGCTGGGAGCGTGCACGGTGTGCACTTCCGGCACAATTCTGAGAGGACATATATATATATATATATTATATATATATATATATATATATATATATATATAGTCGCACAGACACACAATTTACACATTTAGAAACTAAACATGGCTGTGCTAACCAGTCGTGGGTCATCAAAATAACAAAAGTGCCTTAGCTTTTTGCTTTTATTGTAAAACACACACACACGCACACACTTTACCATTAAAAAAATGAAAATGAAAATGGCTTTGCTATCCAGTCATTCTAAATCTTTTTTTAGCAAACTCTGTAAGAGTTCATTGATTAAGACTAGGTGGCTTTCATTAGAAAGGTTGAGAAAATTCTAGAAACAGTATTTTTGACTTAGTAAAAGGCTTAATATGTTGAAAGGTTTCTTCCACTATGGCTACTGTTACTACTACTACTAGTACTATTATTAATAATAATCATTATCATTATTATTATTATTACTATGTGTTTTCCTCATTATGAGTTGCAGGAAAAAAAACAGCAAGAGGTAAAAAAAAAAATTAAAGTGGTATTAAACACAAAACCAACAATGTAATATATTGCAGTTACGAATCAGTAGATGTGGTGGCAGCATCATTTTTATTTTCTTAGGCTTTTTCTCTCATTTTTTACTTGGTGATTTGGCCATTAACCCACCTCCTGTATTATCCTCTTGGATGAAGGAGCATAGTGGCACAGCAGATTTAGATACACTAAACAAACTGAAGCTGAACTACAGCTCACATTTTATAAGCAGATATGACAAACATTTTTTCCTTTTGGGATAAAGGTTCTACATAGATACATAAAAGCTGATCATTGTTAGAACCCTTGAAAGTGGTAAATTGTTTGTCTCATCCCTGTAACTGATATATTCCGCTGGAGAGCTTGTTCTTTTGAAAAACAACAGACTTTTACTGGCCAGAATCACCAGATGAAAATATAAGAAATAAAGCCTAAAAAAGGAAAATGAAAGCAGCCATCATATCTAAGAACTGGTAAGCTGCAATATAATAAATGTTTGTTTTGGGGGTTAGTACTACTTTAAGACCAGTGTTAGAAATCAAATAGAATGAATGATGCTATTTCAGAATAAGTACAGCTTTGGTGAGAACAGTGGAATGCAAAAGAATCTAAGGCAGGGGTGGGCAAACTTTTTGACTTGAAGCAATGGGTTCATATATTGGACCCGGGGGCCGGACCAAGAGTAGATGAATGATGTGTATGTGTCATCCATGTAAGTATAGTAATATTCCCCATAGTAAGCATAGTTTAATCCCCCATAGTAATTAATCCCCCATATAGTAATTAATCCCCATATTTTTAATTCATCCCCCATAGTAATTCATCCCCCATATAGTTAATTCATCCCCCATAGTTAATTTCATCCCCCATATAGTAATTCGTGATAAAACTGATACCCCATAAGTAATTCGTCCCCCATATAGTAATTAGTCCCCCATAGTAATTCATCCCCCTATAGTAATTAATCCCCCTGTAATTCATCCCCCATAGTAATTCATCCCCCATATAGTAATTCATCCCCCACATAGTAATTCATCCCCCATATAGTAATTCATCCCCCATATAGTAAGTCCCCCATATAGTAATTCATTCCCCATATAGTAAGTCCTCCATATAGTAATTCATTTTCCCCATTTATAGTAAGTCCCCCAAATAGTAATTCATTCCCCATATAGTAAGTCCTCCATATAGTAAGATTCATTCCCCATATAGTAAGTCCTCCATATAGTAATTCATTCCCATATAGTAAGTCCTCCATATAGTAATTCATTCCCCATATAGTAAGTCCCCCATATAGTAATTCATTCCCCATATAGTAAGTCCTCCATATAGTAATTCATTCCCCATATAGTAAGTCCCCCATATAGTAATTCATCCCCCATATAGTAAGTCCCCCCCCTGTGTCAATTCACTTACCTTTGGTCCGCGCGTTCCTCTCGTATTCCCGCGCCGTTCTGGTCTTCAGGGAGGACTAGTGAGAGGAGTTCGTCACGCTGCCCCGCCTACATCCTGACAGCTGCAGAGTCCTGACGTCGAGTGGAGGGAGGGGGGCGGCCATCCGAGAGGGGGGGCGGCCATCCGAGAGGAGAGGAGGGGGGAGGGGAGAGGAGGAGAGGAGGGAGGGGAGAGGAGGAGAGGAGGGAAGGGGAGCGGGCGCCCGGCACACAGGAGAGCCGCATCTAAATTTGTAAAGAGCCGCGGCTTGCCGACCACTGGCCTTGCGGGAGCCTAGCTCCGCGGGCCGGATTAAAAGGTCCGCCGGGCCGTATACGGCCCGCGGGCCGTAGTTTGCCATTGCTGATCTAAGGTGAACTATTTATGAAGAACCAGCCTGATAACTCCTTAACTGTGTTATTGATCTGCATATGGTGTTTATGTAGCATTCCCACCACTAACATCTATTTTTGAAAGGAGTACAAGATGAAAGCCATATATATGAACATGCATGATTGAAAGTTTGTTAGAATTACAGTATGCCACTTTGAAAGAAGTATAGTCTAAAGACATTTCTGCAAAACAGCCATTGTTAAATGGTTACTTTTCATAATTAGGATTCAGAAATGTTCCTTAATTTAACAGCATGGTTAATCCCAATGAGTTTTTATCTAGGCTGATTTTATGTAGAATCCTCTATTTGTCTATATTTAATGTATTGCTGTATCATTCATGAGGGGGAACTGAATGGATGCTTTGCTCCCGCCTCTATTATATTGACACTACAGGGAATGTGGGCTATAGAAGGGTACCCCTTTCATTTCTTGCAGAATATTTGCAGATTGTGAGATTGTCAAAGCTCCAAAACTGAGTGTAAATAGATGCAACACATTTATTTCAGCATAGCACAACAGAAAGGGAAGCAGCTGCAGCTGTCAATAATTCCCTATTTTTAAATTCATTAATATATTGTCTGTTTCCCCTTCTCTTTAAGTTCTTAATTTTATCTCTTACCCCTTCTTTTCTTTTTTGTGTGAGCTGTACTTAGTGTGAACTGTACTGTAAATTATTTAAAAGAATGTTTACCTTCAGCTACTTAATTTAATAAAATACGGTAAATGGAATGACAATGATGATTATATTTATAACAAATTCTATTTTTTCATGCTTACACCAGTAAAGTTTTTTTGCCACTGGATAATCTATTTTTAACTTATCAACATGTATGTGTGCTTTACATAACAGATTCCTGGAACGTCATCTATTGTTCAGAGGAAGTGGAAGCCCTTGCAATGTCCAATGCAATCTAGAGGTCAAGGACAACCAACATGTAAACCAAGAATTAATGCAGTGGCTGCTGAGATAAAACAGATTCGGGCCAGAAGAAAAACTGCTCGAATGCTTATGGTTGTTCTTCTAGTGTTTGCAATTTGCTACTTACCAATCAGTATCCTAAATATTCTGAAAAGGTATAGTGTATCTTGGATAAATATCTATTTACTAACTGATAAAACAAGCATATTAATCAATTACAATGATTGGGGATGCATATAAAACACAATGCAGCCTGAAAACAACAATCTTAAGTTGGGTGCCTAATAGAATATAGAAGAACAAATTGTAAGGCCTAATTTCTGGAGCTTGAGGAACTTTCATGTCAGCTCCAAAGTGTCATACATGAATTAAAGGGATGGGAAATATTACACAGATGCATTAGAGCTTCTAAACCGTGATCATTTCTCACACCTTTGTGGTTTCCAGGTTCCAGGTTGAGTATTTAGCTAGTGGTCATAGCTTACCTCCTGCAGCACTCAGTAGGCTTTCTAAGTGGGGATGTCTAAGAGTATTTAACCCAATTCCTCTTCAAACATGGTTTGGCATTCACCTGTTTAGTCTCACTATTTAACTTGGGAGACCCTTGTACCTGCCACTCTTGGAGTCCACTTTGTTCTGACTTCTCACTTACTGAGCACCAGGTCTATATGGCTGCTGCACATTTTGTGTCTAGGCCAGTTTTCATTCTCCAGACAACACTCGCCTCATTTTCACAGCACAAATTATTTTATAGCACTGCTAGAAATAACACACACACACTAAACTTAATTTTATTCAGAGAAGGTTTGGGAACTTTTTAGCCACAAAACATAACATTCTCTTGATCAGTAGACAAAGCACTTGAACAGAAGCAGCGTTATTTAACTTTATTGATGTGGCTACTTTCTAGCATTTCTTTACCACAAGATTCTCTAAAATACAACTGTTGTCCAGGTGAAACACTCACCTTATTCCCCAATCCAATAATCTTCACTGGTCAACCCTGCTCCAGACTGAAGAGTCTTTTTTCTAAAAATGTCCAGTCCTTACTGCATGCAGCCTTTCTATAAAAATGGCAGTTTGTACTGTGCATGTACTACATGGCCCCATTAATTAATATAATCCAGTTCACTGGATCAGGGCTGAAGGGAAGTATTTTTTCCTAGTGAGCAACACTCAGGTGCATAGACAAACCTTATGATAGGACAACTATACAATTGTACAATTGTCATTTAAGAATCTCAAGGTAAATGGAATTCCTGGGGAATAGGGTCCCACCATGTGTTTTCTCAGTATTGGGAAAATTGCATTCAAATGATTATGCATCAGGACTGCATGTCCTAGCGTGCAGAATAAGATGTTATATAAAATATTCCATTTGCAGTCCTGATTTCCAATCATAGCAAAGAATCTTTGTTGTAATATGTGCTGAGAGGATTGAGGCCAAACTTTTACAAAGGCGGGCTGTGACAAATAAGCCATCTTTCTTTTCCTTATTTTTGAGCATTATTTCTCATTAAAAACGCTTTGTGTATGCCTTTCTTTATGAAGAAAAACATCCATATCTGAATGATCAGTTTTGATGATATGGCATCCTTAATTTCTTGGAAGCCCCAGAGAAATGCATTTCCCAGTTTCTTTATGAATTTCTCAAATTCTTCATTTCTGGGGTGTCATCATGCTAGGTCATGATGGTAGCAATGCAATTTTATTTCACATGTGTGAAACACAGAAGGGCAATCATAGAACACACTTGCTGTGCTTGCAGCATTGACCAAAGGTTGCGCTTGTCTCAGGGTAGTAAGAATTCCACCATGGTAAGAGTGTAGAAGCAATGGAAAAAGTCACAGTGTGGATAGAAAATTGTCCACAACTAGGAATAGGAGAATCTTCTGGGGTTAAATTGTAGAGGGGTTTATCTAATTCTGCTTGAAAGCTTTGAAACCCAAACTTAGCATCAAATCCTATTGAAGATTATGGGGGCAAATCTTGGTAATAAATTCTGGCTAGATTCCAGGCTATTAAGCATGTTTTATTCTCAAAAAAAGTATGGGGAGCTTGGCACTGCCAGGGGGGCAGGGGGACTTGTACAGATACAGTACAGCAATAAGAGGGTCTTTTTAAGTTGAGTCTGAGGCTGACATGGAAAAACACCAATCCTTTAAATTACATATTGGTATATTATTTTAAATTGCATGTGGTGTTACATAACAGTAACATTTTCACAGACAGCATCAGTAATAGGGATGAGCCAAACTGCCCTGGGTTTGGTTCAAGCAGGGTACAGACAAACTTCAGAGAAATTTGGATGCCAAACCCAACCCTATTAAAGTCTATGAGAGCTCAATTTGTCAAATCAAAAATGCCCAATTTTCTGGGGATAGTCAAAAGGTTGTCAAAAATAGTATGGTGGAGGACATTGCCCTGGGGAGTAGGTACCAATGGCAAAAAAAAAGTTGTAAAAAATTCAAATTCAGCCATGAGTAATGATTTGTTAAAGCCCTGACATTTACAAAGGAAAAGAGTGTTTTAAAATGACAGACGTCCTGGTTTATTTCCTAGAAAGGATAAAATAGCACACAGACTCCAAAGGTCGCCAAAAATGCATAACAAACATCTGAGGGGTCTGTGTGCTGTTTTGTTTTTTCTTAAGGAACCCAGCAATGAAATGTCATGTTTTCTGTAGCGCATCCAACAGCAAGAAAGAAAAAATGTGTAGTCCAACCAAAATACACACCAAACCCTTTGAGTTTGGTATCCATTCAAACCCCATAATGACATAATAACACATACAGTAAATGCGGCATCCATGAGGTGGTTTTTAAAACCTGGGAACCGTTATACATGTGTTTCTGTGTTTGTGCTGGGAGAGCACCACACAGCTCAATTCCAGCACAGAGACTTGGCTCTCACCAAGAGCCCTGGTGATCTGGTCCTCGACTCCCGGTTCCCATCACCTAATCACTGTGATAACCTCTGATTGGCTATTGCAGTGATCAGTCATTGTGCAGCCCATCCATGTGTTTTTATTTCTCTTCTAAATGGAGAGAAAGATGTAAACAAGTACAAAAAGATACAAAATAAAGAAAAATAGCTAGGTCAATGTCAGTGTTAGGGTCAAGGTACAGGTAAAAAATTAGAGTCAAAGTCAGTATAGTTTAGATAGCATTTAAAAAAAAAAAACACATTTTTTTAAATCAGTGTAATTTAGTATCATTATTAGGGGTTTTTAGGTAGGATACAAAAAACAAAATGTACACTATAGTTTCTGGGCCTTACCATGGGTAGAAACAACAAATAATATGCACATACCGTTTGTGGTATCACTGCAATACTCAGGAGTAAAATAATTTATTTTGGGTTGTTTTTTTGGTGGTAAGTTATGGTATTGTTGTAAATATTCAGCTACATTAAGAAAAGTTTTCCTTTGATACCACTACTACTACTACTTCTAATAATAATAATAACGGTAATAATAATAAAAGCTAAAAAAAAAAATAGGAAATATCTGTTACCATTTGCCACCAATAGAAAGCCCAATTTGACCTGAGCAAAACAAGGTATAATCCACCTGGATATACTAAGTAGTTGCAATGATGTATACAGTTACTAACACATGTAATTGCAAAATTTTAGCCTGAGTTATTTTACCCTGGATCATGAGGGGGTCAAGGGGATACTCCATGCAAAAAAGTAAAAAAAAGTCTGAACTCCTCCAGGAAATTATACAGACCCTTGCAGTCTAGTATGGATTTCAAGTGGAATCCCAATACAAATAAACAAAAAAAAAAAATGGGAAGTCCCCCTTAAAATTCACACTAGTCCCTTAATTTTGGCATGCAGGAAAGGGGGGGCTTGAGCGTGTGCCCCCTCCTGAGCTATACCAGGCACCACATGCCTTCGCCATGGGTAGCACCATTTTGGGAGCTCCCAGATACCAGCTTCCCCCTACATGAGTAAGTAAGGCTACCCTGAACAACTTAAGAACCGTCTCCCTGCTCCCATTTACCTCTAAACTCTTAGAATGCTTAGTCTACAATCGCCTGAGCTCCTACCTCACTGACAACAACCTTCTTGACCCTTTACAATATGGCTTTTGCTCACTACACTCCACTGAAACTGCTGTACTAAAACTCACTAATGATTTACTAACTGCTAAAAACCAATGGCCACTACTCTGTACTCTTACTACTTGACCTCTCTGCGGCTTTAGATACTGTTGACCATCTCCTCCTCCTCAAAAAACCCCACTATCTTGACCCTCGAGACTCTGCTCTCTCCTGGTTCTCCTCCTACCTTTTGCAGCTCCTTCAGCATTACCTATAACTCTGTTTCCTTCTCTCCACTTCCTCTTTCTGTGGGATGCATCAAGGTTCTGTCCTTGGACCTCTTCTGTTCTCCATTTATACCTCCTCCCTTGGTCACTTGATAAACTCCCACGGCTTTAAGTACCATCTCTATGCTGATGACACACAAATCTATCTTTCTACTCTTCACCTCACCCCTTCAGTCTCCTCTCACATTACTAACCCCCCCACAGCTATTACCTTTTGTACTTTCTCTCCCTCCCTGTTAGATTGTATGCTCCATGAACAGGGCTCTTCTAATCCTTCTGTATTGAACTGTATGGCAACTGTATGGTCTCCCTTTATATTGTAAAGTGCTGTTAGCTCTGAATTCTGTATTAAGGATTTTCCAAACCATGGTTGAAAAGTGAGGGGAATCCGTCAAGAGAAGTATTTTAAATATTGAAGAAAGAAGAGGAGACCTGGATTTTGTAAATTATATTTAAAATGAAAGAAGATGAACTTTTTTTTAACTATTTCTGTGTATCGCGCTCATTTTGTTACCCAGGTGCATATGAACCTGTTACAGGTTTAAAAAAAAACCCCTAAAACCAGTTTCCCAGGTAAATCCTTGCAAACTACTTGCCTTCCAAGAGAAGGCAAGTAGGCACCACATAAATCTCCTCCTCCTTTGTCAACTTATTGTTCTGGGACATGACACAGAATGAAAATCTTGCACCCTTATTCTTATGGTCTGGTATCAACATAGCAAAAAGCCACATGATATCTTCTTGCTTTTGGGATCCTAGCCCATATGCCTATTTTTCCAGGATGATAATATCTGGAAAAGGAACATACATTTAAAAAAATGATTAAAAAGAAGTTAAAAACTATAACCATTTAAGAACTGAATCTAGTTTAAGAAATGGTTGAAAAATTTATAGAACATGCACAGCCTGGCAAACATAAAACTAAAAAGTGAACAACAAATATTTAGCAAATGTACATGTGTGATTATCCTCCACCTTTTTATGTTCAAATACTAACTGGATAATTTAACTCTTGAATAATTTGCATTGATGTAATACTTTGCCATCTTTTATTTGCAGAGTATTTGGAATGTTTGACCACACAAATGACAGAGAAACAGTATATGCCTGGTTTACATTTTCTCATTGGCTGGTGTATGCCAATAGTGCTGCAAATCCCATAATATACAATTTCCTAAGTGGTAAGACTATTTTATTCCTGTCTATTCATGTTCATTTAAGTGTATAAAACATAATACAGATTTTGTCAAAATGGAGATGACAATGGGATGACTAGAAGATGAAAGACAAAGGATGAAGAATTTGCATATCAGTGTCAAGTTTATTTAATAAATAAAAGAGCAATGTAGAAAAGGACATAGACCAACAGCAAATATAGTAAATACCGAATAAGCTCACCTAAAATGTTTTTTGAAATCAAGTTAAAGTGGTTGTAAAAGCTGAATGGTTTTGTTTGTTTTTTTAACGTAATGCATTCTCTGTATTAAGCTATAAAACCTTCTATTTTCAGCAACCCCCAGCCCCCTCAAATATTTACCTGAGCCCAATCTTGATCCAGCACTGTGCCTGACAGCAGTAGGACTGCTTTCTCTCTCTCCCTCCTTACTGAACTCAGTGAGAGCAGCAGGAGCTATTGTCAATGTAATCTAGTGATGAGGAAGCAAGGGCGGGACCAAGTTGCACTGTGTGTCTTTATTGACACACACAGCCCAGCTCGGGATAAAGCTTGCACATGTGCCACCATAGGAAGTGACTTCCTTTATTGGCACACGGAAAAGAGGAGGAATCAGGGGCATTGGCGGGGCTGCTAATTTTCAAAACCATTGCACAGAGTAGGTAAGACATGTTTGTTTTTTAAAATTATAACTTTACAATCATTTTAAATTCAGCATATATAACACTTGTCAAATCCAACCTGAAACCTGGAAAACCCAAACTCTGCATGAAACCCTATAGAATCTATGGGGAAGAAATCTTGGCACTAACTTATGGCCAGTTACAGGCCTTGATATTGTCAAAAAGGCAAAGTGGCTGAGAACTGCCACGGGGGACATTCACCAAAGCAAAAATAAAAAAAATGACCTGAACCTTATCCCTCCTGGTCACCAGTATTGTCTGTGGACTCTGCAGCAGACAAGTACTTGACAAGTTGGGTATCTATCTATTGTAGCACTAACCCCTGAAAGGGGTGCTGATTTGTGTCCCAGGTTCTTCTCCCACTAGTGAAATGGCAGCCAGGCAAACAGCAACATTCATTTCTTTGGCTCAGTCTAAGGGTTGCCTCGTTAAGTTTTATTGCAGATTCACTTGGATGGGGCTTAGGGAAGCTATGGAATACTCCAGAACACTGAACAAGAATGTGAAGACACTTGTCATTTCTACTTCTCAGAACAGTCCTTTGAGCAGTAGGATATAAAGTGGACAGTACTAGGACACCAGTGCTAGCAATGTTTCAGGTTAGGCAGGCCTTAAATTTAGTGCACCAGGAGTTAACAGCAAAAACAGTCACTAGGATACCTCTCTCAAACATATGCAGACAGTTTCCTCAGTGGAGCCTACAGAAAAGATCCTCCTCCAACTCTCAAAGAATTGGCAGAATAGTCTCCCCAGCTGTGCACAGCTGGGACCTTGATGAGACAAGCAGGAACTTCGGGTGGACTGCCAGGAAGGGCAGTAGCCCTTCTATCTGGGAACCTCTCCTATTGGGGAAGAACAGGGCAGTTCAGGCCCTAGACAATTTATGCTCACTCCCAGCCACCATCTGGACACCCTCCCCCAGGGATTGGCTGGGACAACATAAATAGTCAGCTGCTGATTTGTTCACTGATTACAGGAGAGCCAAAATAACTAATTTACCTAACCAGCCTAGCACCTATCTAGGAGGGTGCTACACTATTTCCTTGGAAAAAACCTAATTGTTTATATTTGTAGCATCCTCCTAGTTTAGAGTAGGCTGCTAGGAAAATTAAATTCAGTTCCACTGTAATCAGTGGAGCAGGTGTGGATTGCTTAGGGCTGCTCAATGTTTCACAGGCTACTGCTTTGTTGCTTTGCCCTGTCTTCTAGAGATTTCTGAAAACATAGTGGAAAGCAGGGGGGTGTTCCCAGATGGTGGTGGGAGAGCCCATAATAGTCTAAGACCTGAGCAGCAATAGAGAGTGTTCCTGGGTCCTATCCTGCAGGAAAAGACATCTGTGCAGGAGCACTGCCACCTGGGCAGAGGTTTGGAAGGAAGCCAGCCTAAAGACACCAAGGTCCCAGATAGGCATAGCTGGAGGGCTTTGTTGCCAGTCCATTCTAGGATCCAGCTGGGTGATGAAAAAGCTCAAGGGGTAGAACCAGAAGGAAGCTGGGAGCCGGGAGAAAGCCTAAGTTGTCCAGATCTTGTGGCTGAGTAAAAAACCTCAGTGCTGCAAGTGTGAAAGGGTGGTGCTCTGCGACTCTGGGAGGAGTGCAGGTCACAGACAACTTAGAGATCCTGTGGGACATTACTTTGTGAAAGTGTAGCGAAACACTGTGTAGTACAGCTCACAGTTGTGCAATACAGCCAGGAGTTGTGCAGTGCAACCAGAAGTTGAGCAAAACTGTACACAGCCAGGAATTGTGCAGAGCTGAAAGTTAAGCAGTTCTCAGGTTGTACAGTTTTACAGGTCCTGGGTATCCCATGCTCCTTATCCCTATCCAAGTTCATCCACAATAAAAACACAAAAAAAACCCTAGACTATTTTTTGAGACAGATAAAGAGTGCTAAAATGCTGTGTGCCTGGATGTGTGTGCTTTAATGGAGGAAAGAAATTACTCAATCTACCAGCATCTCTTTAGGGGGTGGCCTACATACACTATATTACAAAAAGTATTGGGACACCCCTCCAAATCATTGTATTCATTGTATTCAAGTTTTCCAATCACCTTGATGGTCACCGGTGTTTTAAATCAAGCACCTAGGCATGCAGACTGCTTCTACAAACATTTGTGAAAGGTGATAGGTTGCCACCTGTGCAATAAGTCTATCTGTGAAATTTTCTTGCTCCTAAATATTCCACAGTCAACTGTTAGAGGTATTATAACAAAGTGGAAGCAACTAGGAACAACAGATTCAATGACAGAGTGAGGTCAGTGCATGCTGAAGCACACAGTACGCAGAAGTCATCAACTGTCTGCAGAGTCAATAGCTAAAGACCTCCACATTTTGTGTGGCCTTCAGATTAGCACAACAGTGTCTGGAGAGCTTCATGAATGGGTTTCCATGGCTCAGCAGCTATATCCAAGCCTTATATCACCAAGTGCAATGCAAAGCATTGCATGCAGTGGTGTAAAGCACGCTGTCACTGGACTCTAGAGCAATGGAGACCTGTTCTCTGAAGTGAAAAATCACGCTTCTCTATCTGTCAACTCGATGGACGTGACTGGGTTTGGTGGTTGCCAGGAGAACAGTACTTGGCTGACTGTATTGTGCCAAGTGTCAAGTTTGATGGAGGGTAGATTATGGTGTGGGGTTGTTTATCAGGGGTTGGGCTTGGCCCCTTAGTTCCAGTGAAGGGAACTCTTAAGACGTCAGCATACCAAGACATTTTGGACAATTTCAGGGTCCCAACTTTGTGGGAACAGTTTGGGGATGACCCCTCCTGTTCCAACATGACTGAGCACCAGTGCACAAAGCAAGGTCCATAAAGACATGGATGAGTGAGTTTTGGGTGGAGGAACTTGACTGGCTGGCACAGAGTCCTGACCTCAACTCAGTAGAACACTTTTAGGATGATTTAGAGCAGAGACTGCGAGCCAAGCCTTCTCGTCCAACATCGGTGCCTGGCCTCACACAAATGAGCTTCTGGAAGAATGGTCACACATTACCATAGGCACACTCCTAAACCTTGAGGACAGCCGTTTCAGAAGAGTTGAAGCTTTTATAGCTGCAAAGGATGGACCAACTCAATACTGAACCCAACACACTAAGAGTGGGAATGGGATGCCATTAAAGTTCATGTGTGTAAACACAGGTGTCCCAATACTTTTAGAAATATAGTGTAGTTTACAAAAAAAAAAAATTGTTAGTAAATTACATTAACTGAGGTATTTTTTTTACTGAACATTTACACTTGATAAACTGTTAAAATTGTGTAACATAAGAAAGCAGGGTCTTTGTTTTCAGAAAAAAGGGCTTAACTAATCTTTTGGCCTAAAATGATTATTATATGCAAAAAAAGCAAAAGTGGCTCTGACAGCAGAAGCTTTAAATAATATTATTTACTACATGGCCAGTTAAGTGTGTACTCCAGACACCCAGTCATGTGCAGAAGAATGTAACTAAAAATCCCATGGCAGCCTCTGAATGCTTGAAGTAAGCACAGGTTCACTACAGTAACTGAAATAATTCCTTTGGTTAATCACAACTACCCATTTAGGGCACTTGAATTGCTCAGTAATAAGAATATATTTAAGATCCTTTTTTTCTCAACAGGTAAATTTAGGGAGGAATTCAAAGCAGCTTTTTCATGCTGTTGCATTGGTGTCCACAAAAATCAAGATGATCCCCTTATTCGAGGAAGAGCTAGCACTGAAAGCAGGAAATCACTGACTACGCAAGTCAGCAACTTCGATAATGTTTCAAGAATCTCAGAAAATGTTGTTCTAACTAATCTGAGTACTATGAACCCAAATGGTTCAGGAGCAGTTAACAACTGGTAAAGAAACTGCAAATGTTCAAACAAAGAAAGATGAATATAAATACAGTTCAGCTGTGTAACAAAATACATTTTGCATCTTACATTAGTGCTCAGCACTTTGTTTTTTGTTTGTTTATATGTTTTGGTTTATCCAAGGCAAACCCATGAGCAGGCACATTGCCAAAGCAATTGATTCATCATTGCAGGTTATCAGTATTATGACAAGCCATACATTTGGAGTACAAAGGCGGTGTGCTGAGCAAAAGCTTTCTTTAACAAAAAATTCTACAGTATTTAGTTATTTTTTTAAAAGTGGAGGAAAATAAAAAGTGATGCTTTGTCCAGTAACAACAAGACTCCATATGAACAAAACTACAATATGTACTAGCAGCTGTTTTTGATGACTTGCTGTAATTTCACATTTTCTTTCCTACAATTTATTTCAGGGGTCTCCAAACTTTCTAAACAAAGGGCCAGATTAATGTCCTTAAGACTTTAGGGGGGCTGGACTGTGGCCATTGAAAATAATTTTTAGTGTCAGTGGTGGGAATTATTCCCCATTGTTGGTGTCAGTGGATGAAATATAGCTTCAAGGGAAGCAAAGGGCCACAGTTTGGAGACCACTGATTTACTTGGATACCTCAATATCTGCCACAGTTTGGAGACCACTGATTTACTTGGATACCTCAATATCTGTTATTTTTATATATATTCTCTAATTATTGTGATTAACAATTTACAGAATTAAAACCCAACTCCAGGAAACTAGAGAGTTATCCCTTGCAATGGGGCTGTGCCCACACTGCAAGGGATAATTGCTTGTTTCGTCTAATGAAGAGTAAAAGCCCTTTTTCTTACCTGATCCATTGTTCCCCTGGTAGGCGGTACTCCCTGCACTCTGGCAGTGGACTGACCCATATTGTCTCACATTCATTGGTCTTGATGACATCAAGACCTTTGACTGCTGGAACATGGGAGAGAAGATGTTGTGGGTACCAGTCTAGCAAAGTTGAGGAGCAGAGGATCAGGTAAATAAATCTACTTTAACAAGTCCTAAACCTAAATGAGAAATTACCCCTGCAATGCAGGCATAACCCCACTGCAAGTAATAATTTTCTAGTTTCCCTGAGCTGGGCTTTAAAAAAATCATTTTTTACGCGCAAAACAGCCCCCCAAATGTATTTCAACTGTGTATTTAGCTACTTTTCAGGAATTTAATTGTATGAACACTTAACTTCATTATCATCACATTGGTGGTAATTTTTTTAAATGAGCTGTGACTGGTTTACATCAATCCACAGAGATTACAAAGTAAATGCTGTAGTCTAGCTCCTACTGATTCATATTAGGAGCAAATTGAATTTTATTTTAGGCTACCCTCTATATAAATTTGTCTTGAGATTGCCAATGTTAGTAGAGGTTTGGCTTGCCAGAGTAAAATGTATGCCTATTGGTAAATTGCCTCCTAGGTGTTTGAGTTATCAGAATAAATACATGGCATTGAGCTTGTGCAAACAAATGTATTGAGAACTTTTTCCTAAAGGGGTTGTTTGAACAAAATGTGAAAATACTAACAATGGCTAGCTGACAGTTAACATTTTGCCCAAGGCTTTATTGTAATTATTGTAGTTTGTTTAACACTGTTTGTTCAACCTTGCACACCTGTCAGTGACTGGTTTCACATTTTGCTGCTTTTATGACAGGCAATTTAACAATACATGGCTGCAGTAAGCAGTGCATGCAAACTTTTTTTATATTGTATTTTAATTTACCAACAGAGCAACCACTGTATCTGTCTAGCAACAAGTGTTAATACAAGTTTGAGGAGCAATGGTTTGCATGCAAGTACTTTATGATATATCGGGGTTGATTTACTAAAATTGGAGAGTGCAAAACCTGGTGCAGATATGCATAGAAACCAATCAGCTTCCAGTTTTTTTTTTGTTTTTTTTTTGTCAAAGCTTAATTGAGCAAGCTGAAGTTAGAAGCTGATACCATACATAGCTGCACCAGAATTTGCACTGTCCAGTTTTAGTAAATCAACCCCTATATTTCCACTAGTTCTATTATTTATTCTGAAAGCAGCTTATTGAATGTTAAATTGATTTTTTTTTAAATAATGGCATGATGCAATGCAGGTAAGATCAGCATTGTGGTGTAAACAGAACACATATAAAATATTTTGATATGTGTCCATGTTTTGACCTGTTGTTGTTCTACCAGTGCAGTAAAACACAGGTCAGTGAGATATTGTGAATTGACCCTTACTGCAGAGGTTGGGTCAGAGTGCTTTTAGATTAATTTCTTCTAAATTGACAATCATTGCATTTTCTATACTATGTTACAGTGTAAACCACTTGATTGCCTTGCACTTGAACACATGAATGTATTATGAGCAGGGCTTTTTAAAGTGGGAATTTGGAGGAACAAAGTTCTGTCATCTACAGTACTGAATTATGTAAAGGCAAGAGGTCTTGGGATGTGCTAGAGGGTCTATTGTTGCTGGCTGCTTGGGGATCTATTGTTGTGGAGGGATCTATTGTTTCTGGGAAGGTCTATTGTTTCTGGCAGGATCTATTGTTGCTGGGGGGTCTTATGTTGCTGGGAGGGGTCTATTGTTGCTGGCTGCTGGAGGGTCTATTGATGCTGACTGCTGGGAGATCTATTGTTACAGTCAGGTGTCTGTTGTTGCTGGGTGGATCTATTGTTACTGGGGGTTGCTACAAGAGTCTCCTGTTACTGGGGGGGTCTTTGTTGCTGGGGAAAAGCTATTGTGGCTGGGGGATATATTGTTGCTGGCCGCACATTTTTTACTGCTTTTCTTGATATCACAAACACATTTTATACAAATTACATAGCACCACAAAATAATACTTGGTTCTATATTTTCTAAAATGGGCAGTATTGAGACGTGGTCAGTTGGTGTAACCTAGAGAAGGTGCTCGGAGGTGGGTATAGGGCAGAGACAAAGAGTGACTTGGAAGGGGAGAGTACCTGCACCTATTTTCCAAGAAAAAAAAAGCCTTTATTATGAGTATTTTAACTGCTTGTCATCCAGCCACTATAGAAAAATGGCCACAAGGTGGCACTGCTAGGCAAGATCACGTTTTAAAACGTGATATTGCAAAACAGGTAGGGGGCATGCCATAGGCGCGCATCCGCCCTACCCGTGCGCCGATCGTGGCCGCAGGTGTCAATCACCAGGTCCTGGCAGGTCATTACATTTGCCGGCAAACAGTGACACAGAGCATAGCTGCATTGTTTACAATGCAGCTCTGCTCCCTGTCAGTTCCGAGCACACTGATCCTGAGAGCTGAGTTTATCTCTCGGGATCAGCATGCTCCTGTGAAGTACACACCCTTGCCCCCTATTAAAACACTCCTCTCACACAGTTAACCCTTTCAGTGCCTAAAAAAAAGTTAACTTCTTCCTCCCCAGTGCCATTAGTACAGTGTCAGTGTTTTCTTTTTTTGCACTGATCACTGTATTGGTGTCACTGGGGATATCAGTGACCCCAAGTCAGTTCTGACCCCAGTGTCAAAATGTCCGCCGCAGTCCCGCCATAAGTCGCTGATCACTATCATAAATCGCTGATTGCTGCCATTATTAGTATAAAAAAAAAATCCCAGTATCTTTCCTGTCATTTGTAGATGCTATAACTTTCACGTAAACCAATTAATTTACATATTGGGATTTGTTTTTAGCAAAGACATGTTGCAGAATACATTTTGGCCGAAATTTATGACGAAATTTGATTTTTAAATTTTTTTACTGGACATGTTTTATATCAAAAAGTCCAAAATATTGTTTTTTTTCTCAAAATTGTCAACCTTTTTTTTTTATAGCGCAAAAAATTAAAAAATGCACAGGCGATTAAATACCACCGAAAGAAAGCTCAATTTGTGGGAAAAAAAGGACGTAAATTTAATTTGGTTGCAGTGTTGCATGACCGCGCATTTGTCAGTTAAAGCAATGCATTGACGTAACACAAACTGCTTCTGTAAACGCTTCCTGACTTCCCTATAGCAGAAATACTGCTACAGGGTGGTATGGGTGCGCAAAATCACACATATATATATATATATATATATATATATATATATATATATATATATACATGATTTGCGCTTCCGTGGTTTTCACGCCCCTCCCAGATAGCATCAGATTGCCCGTCAGTACACCAGTCATCACATTTAACCCTTGATTTCCAGGAGCACGCTCATGCACAATAAACCTCCATAGATATAGTGTCGGAATGGATCAATATATTTGATCAGATCAGCACTATACCGGCGTTCACATTAGTATAGCGTCCACAAAAATGCAGCGTTAGCGGGATCAGCCCTGGCACCTGCCAGCACCTGCATTTAGTCCCTACGCTTACCCCCCCCTTATCTCCCAGCAAGTGCAGTGTCAGTAGGTCACTGTCACTTGATACATTGCACACAAAACCGCAGTGTTTGCAGAATCAGGCCTGATCTCTGTTAGCACTTGCTGGTAAATTTTGATGACTCTCATATGCAGCAGAGTGCCAGTACTAGTGCCGCTCTACCTTTTGGTGAACTGTCGAGTACCAGCGGTCTAGTACATCTTGGTCTTTCACATACCTCCTTGATTTTTGGAGCTGTTTTTCACGGAATATCTGTATGTGTTGATTGTGGTTTAAAGCAATTTATATGCACAACAATTTATCGCCGCCAACCCAAATTCAAACCTTGCCAGACCAGTCGCATGGAAACTCATTACGGTTTCCGAATTTACATTTTTTTGGGACTAACCCTCAACATGGGCATTACTAAAAAAAATTAATTGCGGTTGTATTGGTCCACAGACCCGATTCACCATATGCCGTGTTCTCTGCTGCCATAGCCAGGTATACAGTAGATATGAGAGTATAATGTGTTTTATGCATTTCAATGACAATATATTCTGTCATCCTCGGGGTGACCCTGAATTTGACCGGCTCCACAAAATTCAACCCCTCGCAAATCACCTTAACCAAAAACTTGCAGATGTCTATAC